GTTGTTCGTCTGTTTTGCTTAGATGCTTCATTTGCAAGCATTTCTACCATGACACGAACCCGTGGACAGCTACTTTGCCCTTTATCCTGCGATCATCCTGCGCACACAGTAAAATAAGATAAAACAAGAGAGCAGTTATTAGAGCATCCTGTGTTCTGTGCAGCAGCATAGATGTGCCATAGATTTGCATCTGCTCCCTTCCAGTGTAAATGTTGAGAGACTTAGTTTTATGACTACAAATCTACTGAAATGTGAACTAAAAACTAACAACGTGGAAATCTTGGACAAATAGAAAATAAAAAAAACACGGAACAGATCTAAAGCAGTAATGTTCCAGTTAACAGATCTTATGAATAAACTAACAATGTACTTGTGGAGTTTGTTTGTCAGCGGCTTTCTCGCTCAACAATGATTTCCTTTGTCATTTCCACCTCTGTTGAATAAACATATTGCTACTCTACAAGTGTCCTCCTGATGTGATTCCAGATCAAGCTCTGAATTCCAAAATACAGAACAGATCATTTCCTAAACACAGCTAATCATCTCCAGACTAGTGTGCATGAGTGTCTGTGTATGTGGTTCGACCAACTCAACCCAGAGCAACTGAGGCCAGTGGATAAAAAATGCTCTCAATCTTTTTCCTTTTTTACTACCGTTTTCCTACGCATACTCTTCTGACTTTTTAACCCTGTCTTGTGTTTTTTTTAGTCTCTTTTCCCCACCCCTGCTATTTTGCTGTGCCTGAGCCTTGTGTGTGGACCCACCAAGATGATGTCAATATTTGAGTCAGCCAGGCACAGCGGGAAGTTAAATAGGCCTGTCAATGTTTAACTTAAACCGTCCAGGCCTTTTCCAGGGCACAAGAAAAAGGAGAAAACTGTAAACAGAAAGGACAGACAAGTGAGTGTGCTGCTTGTCACTTTAAGTAGGACAGGGAAAAGTGAAAGAAGGACAAAGCTGTGGAGAAAATGGGAGAGCATACTGTGAATAAATGACGGAGCAATTCAGAGAAGTGAAAAGAATAGAGGGAAGAAAGGCCAGAGATAGACAGATTAAGATACTCGCAGACAAAATATAGACACGTCTACGTAGGCAGGCATGAAGAGCAAGATAAGAAGAGAGATCCATTTAACTTTGGGTGACTACACTTTTTTTTTTTTTTTTTGAGAACACTCTGCAGTCTCCAATAACAATCCAAAAGGTTTGCATGGTCTGCAGTTGCTGGAAGCTGTGACTCATTGTAGGAGTTCGCTGTTCCAAACCACTACGAATTACCCAAAGATACACACACAGACACACACACACAAACATACCGAAATGCATCCATACACTCACATGACTACATGCGTGTAGCTGTACATGGACACAAACATATTGCACACCCTGTTGTTTGCATTACGAAACTTAACTGTGCCCATATGAGTCACACAGATAGACTGGAATGTGAGTTAATCAATCCAAAAAAGAAAAAAAAACATATCCCCCCCAGAAAACTAACCACTGTCTCTCTGTTGCACACCAGTTATGAAATGCTAAGTATCTACAGTCAGCAATGAAGTCAACTTTCAATTAACTCCAGTACTACTAAGGACCAGTAGATGGCATTATCTCAAAGTGTGTGTATGTGAAAAGGCCTGTATCCTGATGTATGCTGATACCAATGTGCAGTATACAGGCTTTTTCTGAGAGCAGGCTGACCTACACTGTGCGCATGTGTGCATGTAGAGTTTACCCTGAGTGAGTGGTGTTGGTACAGTGACCTGGACTCCATCAAGACTGCAGAGGTGGCCACAGGGGTCTAGGGTCACCACCCCTCCTGTTGATAATGAGGAGATAGTCAGGGGAAATGAGTAACAGTGATACCATTCACTACAACATTACACTCCAACATGAGATAACTGCCTTAATCATCCCGCTCCCACACGGCATCCTCTGAAAGCATGCAATATCCCCTGTTAATAAAAGGTACTCACTATTCAGATTTACTGTAATTAAAACAAAGCTTCACACAAGAATAAAAAACAACAGCGTAATTAATCATCCAGTTCCTCCCTTCTCCTCACAGCTATTCTATCAAAAGCCCAACGGGTATCCAGCTCGATGGCTTTCTCAGTCTTATATTCATTTTGAAACAGTATATTTCTTTTCTTGCATTATTAGAATTTTAGGCTTTAGAGGATTGAGAAAGTTTATTATTCTTCCGCTGCTGTTTTGTCAGAATAATCTTCTAAAAACACAATAACAATGATTGCACTTGGGATGGCATTGAGCAGATCTTCTAAATGCCAAATATAATCACAGATTTGATTTCAGTGGATTTTACTCGAAGTAATATTTTAGGATTCAAAAACAAAGATTAAAAGCTTGCTAATGAAAGGAGGAGTCATTTTCCCTTTCCCACGACATGATGTAAAGATGTAAGCACTCTTGCCAGTGTGGAAAAGACAATAGAGCTGTGTTTATTCTGGGGCCTGCCAAAATTATGACGTCATTTCAGAGAAAGTGAACCAACACAGACCTTCATTGATGATTAGACAATGCTCTGCCTCGATGCCAGGTCCTTGAATGGTAATATCCTGAGGAATCGGAGCATCTTCTGTGCCTATGCGCGTTACCCCTGAAACATAAAGAAACACAAATTTTTTTGCAATCAGCAGAATATATAAATATAGGGGATAGAATTAGACTTATCATGTCTATATAGGTGGTGTGAGTCATAATTAAAGGGTCTTATATCTAATGCTGTTATCATGCAGACACATTGTGGAGTACAAACTCAGTTTTCCTGAAAGGTCTTATTCACATTCTTAGCATTCTTCAAAGTGTGTGTCAAAGCAGTGGGCAGCGATGATGAAGTGGAAATGTCACAAAGCTGACTCTGACGTCAAGGTCTGCCCTTGTACTGTTTGTAAGTTTATTTCTGCATTAACCCAGACTAAGGGTTAAGTGTCAAATCCATTCATATAAAATGCAGTGTGCACTGTTCTCATTGCAAAGAGAAGACAAGACAAGTAAAAAAAACTTCTCTGGCTCACTGGGGTATAATCAGAGCCTTGTGATCTATGCAAGACACATGAAAACTACAAGTTTATGAATGAAAGTTATCACTGTAATGCTTGTAAGGGCAGATATTTGCTGTCTTTTAAAGCTTTTAATATAATGCCTGTCAGTTTGTATTAGTATTCAGTGTCCTGTCTTCAGGCTAATAAATAATAATGACTAGTACAAGTGTGCCTCTCACTTCACTTTGATTTATAATACTACCTGAATGAGTAATGAAGCTGTGAAACCTGCGGATAGCTGATAGTAGAGGAAGTATAAATACCTATAATATATATAATATATATATAATAATATATTACAGTACACAAAATAATATAATGTGTTTTATTAATTGTAGTCAGTTGTTTGTTATGAAAAAAAAAAACTATATACTGGCCTGATATAAATAGCAGTGAACATTCCAAATAAAATCTCTGGATTTAATAAAGCAAGTGCGCTCGCTCTACTGCATGAAACAGAGTCATGAAACCACGCGATGTGTGTCATTTGTGTTACTGTTGTTTGGGTTGTACTCTGTTGCCAAAGCATTCTCTTCATTTTTTCATGGCTAACTGTGGGTACAGACTGTGCCTTAACCAACACATGACAATGAATGAATGTTAATAAGCAACAGTAACCATAGAATTGGATTGAATAACTTGTATAAATATGCACTGGCTCAATGTTTGACACAGTATCACTTTTCCACAGCATCACCCCCCAACTCACTTCTGCAGTAACCACAGAAATGAAGTGACTTGTCCTGGGAAAAGGGCCAATATTTGGGAGAAAAAGAGTGGGAAAAGGTGGGCAAAGGTAGGGATAGAACTGTACTGACCTGGTTTCATTTCAGGTAATAATTTAAAGTAACTAGTGAGAAATAATAATAAGAAATAACAACAGTGAGTGCTGACAGGATCTAGAAAGAGAGGGCATACTTCTCTTATAGCGGCTCTTGCCCAAGGATACTTGACATGCACACTGGAAAAGCCAGGGATCGAACCACCAACCTTCCGATCAGAAGGTGACCTGCTCTACCTCCTGAGATACAGCAACCCAAACAGGCCCCTCTTCTATGGAACCAGGTCCCAGTTTGGATTCAGGAGACAGACACCCGGTCTACTTTTAAGATTAGGCTTAAAACTTTTCTTTGTAAAGCTTAGCATAGAGGCTGGATCAGGTGATCCCAAACCTCTCCTTAGTGCTGCAATAGGTCTAAGCTGCTAGGGGCTTCCCATAATTGTACTGAGTGTTTCTTCTTCACTCACCTTTTTTAAAACTCTCTTTTACTTCTCTAATGTGTGCCTTTCTCTTATTTTTGTATATATTTCTCTTGGTTTGTATATATCCCTCTTGATTGTATATAATTCTTCTTTTTGCTGTTGATACCTGCTGTCTACTACTTATATTTTATTCTGGCACAGTTGATGTGGAGCACCCACAATTTTGTTGTACATGTATAATGACAATAAAGGGCTTTCCATTTTATTCTTCTACGTAATCCTTAGTCAATATTAATCTCTGGCTCTCTTCCACAGTGTGTCCTTGTGTGTCCTTTGTCCTGTCTCCATGCCCTCATCCTCAACCGGTCATGACAGACAGACAGCCCTCCCTGAATGTGGTTCTGCTGGAGGTTTCTTCCTGTTAAAAGGGATTTTTTTCTTTCCCACTGTCCACCACGTGCTTGCTTATAGGGACATCTGATACAAAACACCTTGAGATATCTGTTGCTTTGATTCAAAGCTATATAAATAAAAATAAGTTGAATTAACATTTGAAGCTGTGAGGATGTGCTACATTAGGAATGAATGTGAAAAATTGTGGCTACTGACTTAATAACCTGCCCATGTTGAGTTTGTGTATTTACTGTAAATTGTGTCTGGGTTTTTTTTTTTGTGTACATTACCCTCTTTCAGCGGCAGAACAGTAATAGCCACACTCAGTCTCCCACTGCCCAGGCTAACCAGATGAGGAGTTGCCGTCTGGACTTTTAGTCCTTTCCCTGTGTCGATCAGGTCCAGGGGCGGAGACTACAAGCAAGAGTCAGTGCAAAGGTCATTTTAAAAACACACTTTATAGTCATAAGACTAAAATGAATGTGCCATTGTGCGACAGTGTTCGTGCTGGATTTGTTCAAAAACCACATAAAACTTGTGAATGTGTGCATATGTGTTTTCCTGTGTCTGTGTGTATTCTGACCTTAGGTTCACCTGGAGAGATCTGATCGGACTCTGGTTGAAACATCATCTCCGATTCCTGTGTACACATTCAGGCAGACACATAAATGTAAACACAAACAATGCAGACATGTAGCAGTGTACACAATTATGACAAAACTTGGGAATGACCTGCGTGGAATGACCAAACATAGAAACACTCAAATAAAGAAACCACACAAAAAAAGAAAAGAAAAAAATGAAAAGAAGGGGAAAAAACTGCCCACAGCTTACCCAGCTGCCACGTGAAATGAACTCTGATTGTGAAAATGTTCCAAGTAGAAAATGAGAGGAAAATTTATTTATTTATTTTTTTTGGCAGTGGGGAGAAATGAGAGAAATGTGTAATGAAAGCAGACTTCCCACAAAATGTTAAAGTCTGCAATCACTCTGCTGCAAGAATGTGTCTGGATAAAGAGAGATACAGAGTAACTAATAAGGTAACTGAGTTTCTGTGTGCATGCTATGAGCAGTATACTACTTAAAGTAAATACACAGCAAAGCTCGTGCTTGTGCATGGCCATGGCGGTGACAAAGCAAGTGCACATCATTTACCCAGGTTGCATGACTTTAAATCCTGATCATGACTTGGGTGGATATTCATGGCGGCCAGTGAATAATTCTTCTTAATTTTATGTCACCTGAAATTTTTATTGTCACCAAAAAATGTTAACATGCAAATAAGCATGCTGATGAGAAATATTCAGAATGTGCTCCATTAAAATATAATATATATGTAATTGAAGCTGCAATGTCTTCCTGCACAGAAAACCCACTTCTTACCATTTTCTAAGTCCTGTTCAGCATTTATCAAACAGTTTGGCACAGTTCAAATTATGTCATAAGCAAGGCATCTCCTAATCTAACAGGCAGATTGAGCTCAGCTATGCTCCCAATCTGATACACTTTTTATTTGGGCATATTTCCTCAAGCATCTATCTCACAGCAAAACTGCATTGACTGTGAGAGTGGTTTAATTTTGACTGTTCTTATTTTGTATGGACTCAATGTTGAAGTCCAAGCATTCCCTAATGGTGGGAATATGTGTGATGCAATGGAAAAAAAAACGAGGTAAAGTACAAAAAAATAAAGGAATGCTATGACAAACTGTGAAGTGGAGATAAAAGAAAACTAAATCAAAATTCCCAAAATATGTGAATGTGTACGTTTGAGGAAACACACTCAGATCGTGTGCCAAAAACAGCCCATGGAGTACTCTGTAATTTAACAGAGAAGAAGAAGAAAAAAACAGTCTAGCTACTACTGTATTTGTGTCCACACACACAATCAAAAACACAAACATGCACGCACACACACACACCAGTGGATGACTTAAATGCTTCTCACCATGCAGAGATGATTACAGCATATAAGAAACTATCAAAACCACATGTCATTTTCCTGCTCCTGTCATTTCCTTTTCTCCCTTCCTCTTTCAAATCCTAATGTGTCATTGCTTTAATGAGTTCAGTGATTCCTTCCTTTCTCTCGAGTCCCCTTTTGCATTTAATCTGTTTTCCATACTAGGCGGCCTTCTTGGCTTCTCCTCTTCCTGCCTGTCCTTCTTCTTTCCTCCTGTCTTTTCGCCTTTTCCTCCAATCACCATGAAGGGAAACACAAATCAAAGTCAGCTCTGCACTTCCTCTAATTCAGCGCTAAGTTTCCGCCCTGAGATCACTTCCTTTACTGCTTGGACACCCTCATTGGTCCCACCACACACACACACACACATTCTAGCAGTTCAGCCACCCTTACATCCCCTATCCACACACAAAAATCTACAAATAAAGTCACACACCAGCTCTTTTTGCTATCGCACCAAGGTATCGGCCCACATTCTACCGATTTTTGTCACTGCTGTAGACAAAGCAAATACTCAGTGTGTGATGGCAACATCAGCTGAATAAAGGTCACAGAAGCTTGCTGAAAATTAGGAAGAAGTGCATTTCAAAGACCCTTTTATGTATGAAGGCCTCAGTACCTTGCATTCCTACAGACGCTCCTTGAAGTCTATTCCCACCTCCTTGACTCTCCCTTGACTTGTTCTTTCAGAAATTGCTCACTCTATCCCATCATTCCTCTTCTTTGTCTTTCTGTGGTTCTTTTTGTTTTCAAAGCCCCCTCCTGCCTTCACCTTCTTTTACCAGGTGAGCTCTGGCTTAGGCGGGTCAAGACATGTCTGGCCCTGTTTACTCTAGTTAAAGCAGAGCAGTGAAGTGTGTCAACCCCCATTCTGAGTATCCAGACTCCAGCTCTTTCATCTTCAAGGTGTTTGATTCCAACAGCAGTCACTTTGCTATCAGGGAATTAAGATGTGAAAGCTAAAGTATGGGATTACTGAATGATATACGTATATGTACAGAGACAGAGTCCCGTAAATACTGAGCATGGAGGATGAAAACTAATGCCGTGCAAAAAAAAGCATGATAGTTCTTTATCCTTAATTAAACAATCTTAACCAACATTTCCCAAACTGTTCTCAAACAAAACAAGCACTCAGTGTTTAAGTGTCCTTGTTTGTTTCCTAATTCTTTGTTGCTCCTAGATTGTCTTAACAGTACATCACATTTTCACCCATATTTGTATAATGTTTGGTGTCAAGGCAAAGACGTGTTCATTTCAAATATAACTTAAAAAAATAAATGTTTATCATGTTTATCAAACTACAAAAAAAGTCATGTAAGGATGGATATAAAGTTCTCTACTCAGCCATGGGATGTGCTGTGCTTGAAACCAGATTCATTTTCCAACTTAAAGGACAAATTTTCTGGTGTTTCCAGGAGGTCTTCTGCCAGAATCCAGTGTGGGAAATACAGAAATACATACCAAGCTGACTCAAAGAAAGTCTAATACAGTAAATGTATAAGTCGAAGATTTCTACACAATGATATGAAACACTGAGAAAATATTGCCCATAGGAAAACATTCCAAGCACACATCCTCCCACTTACTTTTTAATAAAAATTTTAATCCCAGATTTAAAATAAACCTTCTATTGGAAAGTGACTGAACTGACCTCACAAATGCACAATATAGCGTGCACAAAATGGAAGAAAAGCACAAGCACACACAATTTGTCTTTGATCCCATCTGTAAAACAGCTGAGTCTCCCCGAAATGCTTTGTTTGCCCTGCATCTGGAAACAGAAAAGGAGATGAGAGGGTAGTGTGGGGTAATGAAAAAGAAGATAGCAGTGGAAGGTAGAAGAGAGAGAGAGAGGACTCATAAAACCAAGAGGAAAGACCCAGCATTCTCAGACTGTTTCAGCTGGGTCATTTTAATATTTTTTCCATCCCATCCTTGCTTTCCTCCGTCAACTTCTTCCTCTTTTTGTATTTGCTTCAAACGGTTTTTGCATTTCCTTCTCTTTCAGTTACTTTCCTCATCACAGCTGCTGTATGTTACTGCAGACAGCATTCTCAAACCCACATTCACAGGAAAGGTCCTGCTCTTAAAAATATTCCCATGTTAGAACAACTCTTTAGTGCACTAGTTGAAAAAGCTATTGCACAATATGTCTGTTTGAAAAGGCCAAATCAAATGTTATGGTTTTCATAGTATTGTGAGCATATTGCCATCATGAACTGGCTTGGGCAATTTAGATAGGGAGAACCATAACATTACATTTTTTCTCAGGTCCTTTGGCTCAGTTGATGAATGGCAGTTGGAATATTAAAAAATATATTATTATTTGCATCTATGAATAAGCAGTTTGGGGTAATTCACAGTTTTGCTTTCTAGCTGAAAACTTCAAAAATGGTGGGAGAAGTGTGCCATCAGGATGGTTCTTTCATCATTTTAATGCATATATTTGTTTTTGCCAACTTTTTCTTCTGTGTATAATTTTTTGAAGTGGTAGTGTTACCCTTAAAGATAGGCAGCTTGTGATGGCTACAATCCGTGCTACAAACTTGACCAAAAAGTGGAGCTGAGGGTGGTCTCAGTCTTACACAAGTTAACATCAGCTATGTTGTATTTGTCTAAAAATGCTGTCTTTCAGTGCTTTGCCTAGTTATATTTCTCTCTTCTGTCTTTCTCCATCCCCTCCCCTTACATTCCAGCATGACCCTCTCCTCCTCCCACCTGACAAAGCCAGCATTGTATCACAGATGCTATTTAATATGGAGTCCCTCTCTCAGTGTCCTTCATATGGGGCAATTCAGGGTTATCTTCCTCCCTTGTCCTTGGTAAACAGTATGTTTGCAGTAATGTCTTCAATAACATTTTAAATCAGATTAAAATGTCCCTCATGCATTCATATATACATGGATTTTCAAAATACTGTATGCTTAATAATGTGCACCCCTTGTCCTTAGTTGTGCATTGCTGTTGTGTGTTTGCATTTGTTTTGGTTAAAACCGCCGAAAGCCGATTAAAATGTGTCTGTGAGCCGCTTGTTAAACAGCACAAATATCTGTCACGCTCAAACTCTCTCACATCCTTACTGGCAGTTTTGCAGTCTTTTAGCAAAGTGCTAGATGACAGGAAAAAAGTCCATTGTTTTTGCAGCTGACTCAAAGCTGGAGGAAATGTAAGTTGAATTTCTAGTGAGGGTGTGTGTGTCTGTGGAAAAGCCCAGATTACTTTAACTGCCACATGCAGGGGATCAACTCATGTTTGGTTTCCACAGGGCCGGATATGACAGCGAGACAAGGGGAGACGGTGAGCTGGTGGACGGGTTTACTAAAGCACACATATCTTCTTGTATGGTGAAGTGAGCTGTGACTGCTGGAAAAGGAAAGAAAAGAGGAGATGGAGTTCGAGATAACAAAAGAAACAAACTATGTGTGTGTGTCTGTGTGTGTGCTTGTGTATTGGGGTATGGGGGGGGGGGGGGGGCAGGTAGACACAGATTAAAATGCAGACTAAAGAATTCAGATATGAGGAAAAAAGATTAATGGTGAAAAATCCCCAAGTTGCACCAGTGGCCTCCAAACATAATATGAGCCTATACAGCGCATATAATTCAAGCAGTTACCTTCATAAATCAGCATTACATACTGTTTCCAAAAATCTTTGTTTTTCTTAAGCTATTGGCCACTTCTATGCTCTCCACACTGACTTCTGCTTTCCCTTTTTCCACCTGGCAGATACCCAGTGAAATGAAAAGCAATCATATAAAAGATGTTTTCAGTGTTACGGTTGGCAACAGTATGTCAGAAAAATTGTATCCACCAGTTTTTTTGCATCACGATAGATAGATAGATAGATAGATAGATAGATAGATAGATAGATAGATCGATTGTTGGTAGTTGGGCTTCAATCTCACTGCGTACTCTGCGGACTGATATTTGTAAAAAATCTTACAAAACAATATCTTATCATTTCAAATTTCTACAATGTTCCAGTTAGAGCTGCCATCAGCAGCAACGTTGGATCGTCGGTGGAATCACGAGAAGTACACCTACATTTTCACGTTGTACCTGCCCGCTAACAAACAAAAAGGTAATCTGCGTTTGATTTTGCCGAACAAAATCCTCAACTGAAGTCAGATAACGTTACAGCTTACTTTGAAAGTATTACAGCGCTGTGAAGCAAAGCAAAAATAAACCTAATTTACAAGAACACATTCTGATAATTAACATACATTCTTCCACTTTTTAAATCCACAGCCTATAGGTACAAAAACTCACTCACCATTACTGAAGCGGGAATGGCCACTTCTGTCATTGTGCAGGAAAGGACGCAATTGCGAAACTGATCCAAGATCGAGAGGTATGCCGTTTGCACAAAACTCCCCCAAATAGAGTTTTTAGCCTATTTCTGCCTTTGCTGTAGCCGCAGCTTCTGTCTGGACGGGAGATACATTCCGTGCACAGCACAGTCAACGTGCAGATCTCTAGGAAAGACTTTTGATCCCGGTTGTCACAATCACAAACACAAGCACACACTCCAAACACACACACGCGTAAAAAAGGCCGACGGCTTTCCGACGGGCATAGGAATGCAGCAACAGCTGGAAGCAGAAGTGGATAAGGAACAAGGGGAGGGAGTCTCTCTCTCTCTCTCTCTCTCTTATTCACTCATACAAGCTGAGTTTAATGTGCAGGTGTTAACAGACTACAGAAAAGTACACTTGACCTTTCATCAAATGGTTCAAGCCTCTGACAAAGAGAGTGGAGTGAAGGATAAAAAGAAAAAGAGAGAGCCATTATTTCAGCCTTGGCAGCTGATAAGGATATCTAATGATTTTACAACATGCATGCATGCAGTCTCATTTCACTCCTAATACTGAGAGTTTGTCTCTATGAAGAAAAAACAAACTTGGGGGATGTTAAACGTGGTAAATGGTTCATATATTAAAAAACATTTAGGCCAAACAATAAAGGAATATAATGGTATTTAGTGAATAACAAGCTTATTATATAAAGTCATATAGTTATAGGGATTTATGTTAGGGTTGACCATGAATACCTGTCACTCATATAGTGTGACACTGTAAATATCCACACTCAAATCCACTACACAAGCAGATCCATCTTGCATAGAAAAGTGATAAAGAACACTGAAGGTTTTCTGGAGGTTAAATTCCTGTTGAGGCATATTTCTCAGCGAAGTAAAGCTATTGTGGCTTTTATTTCCATCATTAATTGCAACAATATAGTTGCGTAACCATAAAAAAACCCATGGCATACCTCATGGATGCAGGTGTAGTAAAGAAAGAAATGTGAACGCCTCTTGTGTGCGCTTAATGGCAAAGAGTCCTTGTGTCCTCTCTGACAAAATATTGCTCGTAGTTCTCTGTGTAAATCCACTTCTAGATAATCTTTTATTATTTGATCTACACATCTGGAACTGCAAATGTCTTATGGGCTGCTGTTTGCATAAGCTGTGTGCACCACTTGAAAACTTCAGCTACATGTCCAGTCATGCAGCTCTCTGAAGACATCACGAGGCACAAGAAGATGTCATCAGCTCTCAATCACACAAAAACAGTTTTTCTTGGCAGGATTCTCTGCATTTGTTACAATTCATAACAATGATTGCATGAAGCAACAACAGGAATGATCCAGAGCCATAATAAAACCTAAGTCATGCAGAATTTTGCTGAGGACAGAATGCACAAGGTATTCTTTTGGTTAGAAAACGATAAATATAGAAGTGAAAATGGTCCTCTGGTTTAGACTAAGGTCAAGGAAAGTTTGCTGACACACACACGCACCCATGCTGACATAGGATATTCATGGATTTTAGATTATCTTATCTCTCAGGCACTGAGTGGACCCCTTAATGGATAAACAGGAAGAGAACTTGTGCACCCAGCGTGCTCCACTTTCTCCACTGCTTCCTAGCATTCCACAACACCTGGTATGTATGCCACTCTAACTGGCCAAAAGCACACTAAAGAATCTAAAATATCAGGTTTACTTTACATTAAATTAAGTTCATGGACTTTTTAAATTTTTTGTTGGTACCAGCTAATGCATCCATCAGTCCTGAATGAGAAAGAATTTAAAAAGGGAACAGCTAAGACATTATCTGGGTAATACTGCCTGAAAATTGCCATTCCTTTTAGCTTTCTTTCTTCTCAAGTATTTCCAGAAGCTCTTAAGTGATTATGTTTGCATGGTTGCCTAGAAGCAATGAAAGCTTCTAAGCTTTCCCAGTGATATCATCCCAGAGCATGTGGGTTTCAGAAGGCCACCAAATGTTAGACAGCATTCCCGAATGGATTCCACAATTCTCATGTGACCCCAGGAGGTGTAGCAGGAGCACTGGAGCTCTTTGGAAAGTGATCACACTCACCAAATTTTGACAAAACCTGAATCTGACTTTTGTTAAAAAGTCCAAGCTGTCAGCTGTCATTCAACCCAAACTTCTATAGGCATTAGATACAGTGTCAGATGCATTTTACGTGTGTTTTAGCACTCTAGTCCAGGGGTGTCCGGAGGCCTGAATCCACCTGGCAAAGACTCTGATCCGGCTTACTGGATGTCTTTGGAAAACGCAAAAGAGGGCATAAACTTTTGGATTTGTAACTGTATATTTAGGAGTAACACCAACGTAACATATAAGAAATTAAATGACAGAAAAGTACCAGGTTTTTCACCATTTACTATAGAAATGTCAGTTTGGGGATTTGTTTTTTAACAGTGGTTTCACAATTAAAAAAAAAATAAATCTGTGAATTAATAAGAACTTTCTTTGTTATAATTACAGGACAGGACATACTGTTGCCAACCGTAACACTGACAGGATGATAAGGCTGGTTTTGGTTAAAACACTCCACACCACAGATGTACCAGAGATTTAATGAATGGAAACCCTGATTACTCATATGTGAAACCACTGCCTTGCACCAGTTTAACACACGTGCCTTGTAACCAGAGAAAATATTTCGGCAACTGAGGTAGATGAAGGAAGTCCTGAACCTGGTAAGAGAGAAATGACATGAGAACATGTGAAGTGACAGAAATACCACTGCTTAAAGTGGCACAGTTGTAGAACTATTTCAGCTATGGTGCCCAACCAGTTTAGGAGAGCTCTGTGTCAATATTGTCACCATACTGGGTAGAGAGCAGCTTCAGAACAGCAGTCTTTATAAACGGCTGGACAGAAAAAGTTAATACTGCAGGACTTTATTAACATATGAGTGATTACGCTTGGGTCGTCTTCTCCTTTGAAACCTGGGAAGCCAACAGGGATACAGTTAAGTGAGAGACTAAGGGGAGAGCAAAAGACAGAACCAATCTAAACAACAGAGGAATGTTCTCAGCTCGAGCTGCTGCTCCCTGCTCTCCCACTTGCCTACAATGGTATGTGTAATTACTCCACAATTAAAGTGCCTTTGCTCGTCTGTGTGTGGACCTCGCAGTGCCTGGTGACCACACTCAACCTTGTCAACAATGTGGCCTGGACACACCAGGCTATTTGACATAAGTGAGTCGGTGAGTGACAAAATGAGGACAGGGTTAAAAAGTAAAACAACATTTCCCTTTTAGATGATGATGCCGCTGCAGGAAAAGGCAGCTGTTCTGATCGCTCTCTTGCAACACGTCCACCTGCTACAATTTTACAACTTCAGCTCTATTTTAACTAAATTCTTCCCTTTTGTTTCAGATCTTTCATGTCATCTACCTTCATTTAAAAGTCTATTTTTGTTAGTCCTTCCTTTCTCTTTATATGACATTTCCTCTGCTGTCTCATTTTCTTCTCTTACTCTAGTCTGACCACAAGAACGCAGGGTGACTGTCGCTGCTCTACTGTCCACGCATGCATAGTAATCACTGGCCCTGACAGGCACACACACACAGACTGTAAATCACACTGATGCACACGCACACTATCAAACAAGCAAAAACATTTAAGACCTCAACGGTTGGCATTTGGTTTCATTTTAAGCATAACAGTTTTTAAATGAACCCTCATCCACATGTTTGCATATACTGTACACAACCATATACTCTTCACTTCCTTTCCAACATACATTTATTGGGAGACTAGTTCTATTTCTGCACATTTAAGCACTGTAAGAGGAAACAGACCAAGGGGGGAAAATACGATAAACATAAAGATATATAGCTATTTGTGTGTATCTGTATGTGTTTTGTGGGAACTGCGGCGCAATTTCCACCCATACTGGGCTTTTCCTATGCAGTCCTCCTAAAGGTGCCATAGTCTGCATTGCTTGTTAAATTCAGTAAGTAATGAGAGAGCAGCTGGCTTCTCTTTCATTAAAAAAAAATGGCATTGCTTAACATATAAATAAAAATACCAAGAAAAAATTTAAGTATGTGTTTTTTTCCCCTCAAGTTCATTTAATTACTGGAAAAATACCAAGTCTACATTTAATAAGCCAACCCTAACTCACTGGTCCAGTTTCAACAATCATTAGTATGTTGGAAATACAAATGAGTTCCATTGCAATCATTTCTTTTCACACAGAGTTTATCTTATAAACAAACAAAGAAGCTATCCTAATCCCTTGTGTGCTGTTCATACAATAGTGGCTAAAATGACTACAGGCAGCATATTAACATGCAATTCTGTCTCTTATCTTAACTTACAAAGTCAGTAATTTCATAAGACCATTTAAAAATACAAATAAACCAAATTCACATCTGTAATATTGATAAACCATCCAAATAAACTTCCACATAAGCACCTGAGAGGTTAAAAGTCATATAATCATGCAAGGGAAAATGTACAGCAGCTACCAATCTGGTGACCTGCTTGGCAGTCCCATTTAGTAGCAAATATGAGATGTATTTCTAGCTTTCCCTCAAAAGGGAAAGCAGAAAAAGGAATCTGCAGATGCAGCCAGAACTCCAGCATGACACGACTCCGTCTGCCTTATGAAGATGGTAAAAAAATGCAGCTGGGCATGCCTGGTTTTCTCTCATCTGAGCTCTCACTTCTTTCCCTCTTTTGGACTGTCTTCATAGAACTGAGGCTAAGAAAGTCATCTACAACCAAAACTAAGACTGAAAGTTAGCTGACGAGCTCCTTAAAAATTGAAAGGCTTTATTTTAGAGGACCCAAGCTCATACAGAGTCCATCCCTGCACATCTTAATGCTGAGTGTCCTTAAGCAAATACACTGAAGCTCTACCAGCAGCACCAGAGCCATTTGTGAACAATATAAAAAGAGAGGCAGGGAAAATCTGCCACTAGACTCAAAGCCACCATGTCAGTCTTCCTGGTATGAAAACGTGTGTCATCTTGGTTTGCGGTTCTGTTCAGACAACAGCAGGTTATTTAGCTTGATTACAATGTTGGCAAAATCAGTGAGGTCCACAAAGTCCGAGGTGATGATGTTGACTCCGTCCACCCCTGGCCTCTGAGCCTCAACCCAGGACATGATGGTTGGCAGGTTTCTAGAGCCAAAAAAGAAGCATTAAGGCAATTATTGTTGCACCGAACATCCTGCTATTTAAATTTGAATCAAAACCAAATTCATGACCTTACAAATACACACCAAAAATATCTACTGCCAAGGTTTTGTCTTTTAGTTTCATAGTTATGTCTACAACATTGTCAAGAATCAGTAGTTCCTTACATAACTGTTTCTCTTTCTGCCAGATTTCACTATAAGCTGTTGACTGACTTTTGAGATATGTCACAATGTGGGAGAAAGTGGACATATTGGGGAAAGAAAATTAAAGGGACAGACATTTTTGTCCATCTGCCAGGGAGACAGTGCTTTGCCCCCATTCAGAATCAATGCTTTCCATATTTTAGTTCCTGGCATAGACACAAACACAGCGACGCTGTAGCCGTATCACTTCTAACACCCTCTGATTCTTCACTATGTTTCAGTCACCAGCAGAACAAAACCAGGAAGTCACATTGTTTATCACTGCTGGATAAACAATCCCATTTCCTCGGAAGTGCAAAATTAGGCTACCTCCTGTCTCGCCGTTGTGTCTGTTCAGAAGTTTTATACCCTGATATTGGTGCCCGGTGGCAGATGTAAGGGCATAGAGAGTATAATACCCTTACATCAAGACTTCCACTGATGATAAAAAAGCCAGATGACAGCAAAAAAAAAATGGTGAAAATCATATGCCTTTGCTTACGAAGAATACAATCTCTTAAGAGTTATGAAATGTTTTAATTTATGTTTTGTGCACTCTAGATTTGACTGGAAATACAATTTTTTTTCTCCATTCAGTCAATATAATGATAGATACAAAACATGTTCTTATAACTTACTGTGTTACAGGATGTGCTCTAAGATCTGTAGTGTTTCTTGCAATGTAGTTTTTCAATATTTTTAGAATTTCTTCTTTTTCTGGCCTTTTAAGGCATGTGCAAAGCCAGCGCTTGACTTTGTTCCCTGCATTTCATTAGCACCCTTAACTCTACTGACCTCTACTGGCCACAAACTATAATAAATGAATGAAGATGAGCAGTAGAGGAAGCAGTTGTTCTTAAGAATTTTTTCAGAGTTGTTATGTTAAAACTGTCATACAAATATGATCCATGATTCCCTCTACACCAGGGGTGTCAAACTCAAATACACAGTGGGCCAAAATTCAAAACTGGAGCAAAGTCGCGGGCTAACATTAATATTTATTGAAATATATTTATTCCTCCAGATATAAGAATGAATCTTTTCTTATGGACTCAAACACGTTTTGCTGAAAAACTGAATATGGAACAAGCAAAGCTTAATACTAAACAATATATATATTAGCTGTATAATACCAGTAGGCCAGCTCTAATAGTAATTTGGTATGGCTTCGCGGGCCAAATGTAATTAGGCCTATGCTCTACACCATCTAATCGCAGTCACGGACCTCTCCACCAAGTAGCTGCGTAGGCCCCAGAGCAACCCCTTAGCCACAGTGTTGACAGTGGGAGTGAGGATGGCCTGGGATACATGGAAGGAACCCTGCTTGTCTCTTTCCTTCAGCGTAGTTTCCAGGAACTAGAAGGCAGAAATTTGAATGAATAAATCTCATGCGAATAGAATGCATTTAAATATCTTTAGTTAGAATGGAGACCGCAAGAGATAAAACACGATTACAGTATTAATTTCTAACCTCTATGAGCTTGATGGGCTCAGTGGTGTTTGCCCAGGGAGCAGGGATCTTGTTGCCAGGCCACATGACAGGAACGCCTTGGGCTGAAGGATGATGGTAGAACACAATCACCTGTCAAGAGAAAAAAGATAAAAGTTGGTGATCAGATGTCTGAAGACAAAAAGGCTTTAGGCGAGTTCTGTGATCCATTTTGCAGTGCAAGACATAAAGTACCCAAAGATATACATACCCCCCCCTCCCCCCCAAACCAATGACCCTAGCATGGTGAAACACCTGACCTCAAAGTTAGTAAAGGATTACAGATAACTGAGCATTCATGGTGGTATCTGCATGTTTCACCCTTACTGGAGATTTAATATTCAGCAGGAAATCTATGTTGTAGCTACGTCATAACCACAAACCCCTCTGAAGCCCTATGCCACGGCCTACGAGGTAACCTCTGCACCTCCCTAGAAATGTAAGTACACGTTGGGTCGACACAGTCCACAACTACGACCACAACAATGAGCTGGGACTGAGCAGGTAAAAAAGTCCCAGCATTTTGGGGGCTTTGTTTCTATCAGCCGTATTCAAAACACTGGGACAGGACCGCAAGGTAACACAATTCACCAAACACAAGCACAAACACCAGCAACGATGTGCGCCACTGATGTGTCTACAAAGAATCCTCGCAGAAGTCTAAATCTGGGCTTATGTGTAACTGGAAAAATATCTGACCAGAACAGTCTTCATCCACAGTGACTTGGCAGAGATGCAATAGAAAAGTCAGAAGAAGTTTGAGTTGTGGGTTTCTCATAATGCCAAAAAAAGAGTGAGGAGGAAAGCTGCCCTTTTCACCTACAAACTGTGCACTTTGTGCTCTACTCTCACTGTCTGCCCTGCACTTCATCTCCTTGTTCTTTGCCAACTAAGCCAGTTACAGATTAGGGTCATGGGAACAGGAATGATAGTATCTGAACATAAACATGCACTGACTGTAGTAATGTAATGCAGACGCAGAAGTACTCACACCTTAGCTGGAGGTAAGAATATGAAAGAGTAATATCGGAGACACCAAAAGACAAAGAAAAATTGAAATGTTTTTAGCTACAAAAATCTGAAAGGATAAATGTAGGTTAGTTTATAGAACAAGTGCTAATAGGATGATACTTGCCACTAATTCTTGCCCTGGAAAATCACAGTTGGAAGGGATTACCTGTGCACAGAGGTCACGCTAACACACCGCTACACGAACACCTGTCTACTCCTTTTACTTGTAGGTGTACACCACACCTAAAAGGTTTGTGGAAGTCACTTAATATGTGCTTTTTATAAATATCAAACTGATTAGAGATAGGGCACCCTGGTGGTTAGCACTGTTGCCTCACACCAAGAAGCTCCTGTTCAAATCTAGCATCTGGTCACAAACTTTGGAGTTTTTATGTTCTCACCATGTCTGAGTGGGTTCTCTCCAGTTAGTGGGTTTAGGTTAATTGGTAACTCTAAATTACACATACCCACCTCTCTGTGATAGTTATGCAACAGTTCCAACCAGGGTGTACCCCTGTTGGAGTCGGAACAACATGCGTGCTTATTACTTGGAGCATCTCACCATGAGTCCAAGTTTTGAGGAAATGGATCAAAAAGATGAAAATCTGTGAAATGTGGTAAAAGTGAAGGTGCTGGAGGACTGCTTGGAGTCACGTGACTTAAGGAGATCATGAAAAAAAGAAAAACTATCACTCCATTTTGCAATGCCTTGCCATAGCCTGTGACACCACGTACTTGGAACCACTTTCCTCCTCCAAAAGACCAATGACCCAGACATAACTCCAAATTGCAAGAACTATTTAAGGAATAAGTCAGCTGACTGTCTGCACAGTGAATGAATCTCAGCCCTGCTGAGCTGTCATGGGTGCAGCTTAACACTAGAGCCAAAAGAAAAGTACATCAAACCAGTCCAACTAGTGGCAGCACCCTAATAAGGTGTAGGCTGAAATGTTCCCAGATGACTTCTGTAAAGGCCAAAAGCCTGCAAGGCTGTGATTTCTAAAGATGGGAGATTATTGGAAAAAGCAAAGCTCAGTTTTTAAATTGTTGTGACTGATTCCTGTTCACTCTGCCACTCATATAATGAATACAAGTATGATATTTCATGAAAACATTTGACAGATACATTTACCTGTTGCTACATTCAACATGCACACAAACATTTTTGCAATAAAGGCCGTCAGTACTGATGCAGTCTGATCGCACCTGGTATTTCTTCTCCCAGAGATAGTCCAGAGTGACGTTCTCCACCGCACAGTTATTGCACAGTTTGCTGCCAAATACTTCTTGGAGCATGCTGATGAGGTAAACGTGGTGCTCTGCCTCCATTGCATAGTAATGGTTAAAGTCCAGGAACACCACCTACATAAATTAAACATCAAACATAATCAGTTAGTAGTGTAAATGTAGCTCATTTATTTACATGTTTTATGTTTAGAAATGTTTAAAATGTGCTTCTCACCTCTTTCCTGTGTCTGACCAGGAAGGAGCTGATTTCTAACAGGCCGTCCCTCACCTTTGTGAGAAAACAGGGTGAAGAGCCAGAGATCAGGATACAAATGTACAAATCTTAAAGTCTCTCAGTCATGAACTGATGCAGAAAGGCTACTGCTTTTTTAAAGTCAGCATATTAGAACGCCAAAGAGCAGCTTAAATATTTTAGTGAGTGCGGCACTGCAAAACTCCACCAAAATATTTCACAAAATAAAGGTTAATAGAGTCAAATATCAACCTGTATACAGTTACAGCTGCTAATGCCACTGACATCAGAAAATCTTGAATATGCATTTCTTTATTAAATATTCTTCAGTCACATGGTCATGTTATGACAGAATCTTTGTAATCAAAGAGTTCCTCGTGTAGGGAAAAGAATCGCCCATCTTTATAGCTAAACGCTACCCTCTGATCCTTGCTTAAGGTCATCTCTGCCCACTATTAGCAACATCAACTGCAACACAGTACTAGAAGAAAACAGTCACTGTTCATACTAGGAGAAAATGAAAGCTTGTATTCAAATGTCATTTTAGCATTCTAGGACTGGAGCTGGCACAAAAGCATTCAGCACAGAAGGAAAATATCAGATTGTGACAGATTAAAATGAAAAATGTAACACATAAAAGTAAATGAGGGAGACCAGCTCAACAGTCACAATAACAACCCAAAACGGCAGTAAAAGTTTACTCCTCCGCTCACCTTGTGTCCAAAGAGGCCATGAATGAAATAGATTTCATTTCCAGGCTCGCCTGGTTTTGCAGACACCCTGAGGTCAAAGTAGCGAATTCCTGCATCCAGCTGCTCCTTAAAAGTCAGGTTCTGGCGACACAGACCACATCACATTATACATAATAAAAAGCTGAGAAACACAGACACTAGACTGTAAAACACAGATCTCAAAAATGTATCATTTAGGCTATTTTGTGTGTGTGTGTGTGTGTGTGTGTATTGCAGTGATTTTGAGTCCAGTACCTGTGTCATGGACCACCTCACCATGACTTTCTTGGCTAAGACACTGAACATGGTAGCCAGATACTTAACATAAACCTTTTGATCGGGGCCCACGGGAGCATGCACATCCACCCAAAAAGTGAAAGAGTCGTGAGAGCCTGGAAAAAAGAGGGAGAGCTGCTGCTGGTGATGGAAAATTAAAAATTGAAATCGAAATCAAACAGGAAATCAAGGTGAAAAAAGAGGATTCCGTCTGCATCAGTAAGTGATGAAGGAATCAGCAGTGTTTTCCTCCTGTTATGCTGGGCGTGAGGGTGGGGTTAGGTCTATTTTTAGCCAACATTACCACAGTACATTTTCCTTCTTCCGTTGACTAAATATCTTTACGCTTTGTGGACTCACCTGGCACCGCTAGATGTTTGAGGGGCATGGCACTGAGCTTGGAGGGGAGCGAACCCATCCAGTCGGCATGGACATTGCCGATCCCCGCGGGTCTGGTCTTCATATCGGGAGCCGCCTGTCAGCAATAACTCCCTCAAGAGACTGCTCTCTGGTACTGATGCACTCCCGGTGAAGGATTTCCATGCGCTCCCACCATGTGAAATCTACCATAGGTCATCTTGGACTGTCACGATTGATTTTGCGCTGCTACGATATGCATCATTTCAAGTCCAACCGGTTTCGTTGCCGAGTTTCTGGGAGGAAAACTGTACCGCGTTGTTGTCCGTTGGACTCCAACCGGCAAACCGGCATGCCTTGACAAAGCCAGTGGGCAGCTAACTATCGCCGCAATCCTCTTAGGGTGAAATCCCTCCTCCCCTCCCGGTAGGTTAAACACACTACCGCACTAGGCAAACCATGACATTTAGGACGGGTAGAATGCCAGTAAGGCACTAATTAGCTCACTGATCACGTGACTGACCAGGTGACAAATGACATAACTAACACACAAGTCTACTTCAATATTAAAAACCATTTTATTCATTTTTTTGTACGGATGACATAGTGATATATTTTGTGTTTAACTTGTTAGTTATGTAATTTGTTTTTTATTATTAGAATATTATTCCCTACACAATAAACACTGAATAAACATTTTTAAACAACCGGTGATATTTTTGTTCCGCTAATGTGAGCTGTAGGCTATGTACATGCCATACGAAGTAGATTTGTACTATGTCACTCTACAGTCATACAGCGCCATCTACTGGTGCAGTCCTCGAATTGCGACCAAGTCGGGGTTTTTTTCTCCTTATTCGAAAGAACATTCGTGTTTTGAAAAAGTAGAATAAAATAAATAATAAAAATCGTGCGTATAGCTTTCACTTTAGTTATCTATTTGTAATTCAAAATATTTTACATTAAAAAGAGTCCACATTGAACAGGCATCTCTAAGTTACGCTAGAAATGTTAGCCTATTTGAATACAGGCTATTAACGCCATACCACTCAAAGGACAACAAAGCCCACAAAGCATTGCGGGCGCCGTCTCCACGCTTGTCACTTGGCAGCTACAACAAGCGTCGCGGTTGTGTATACGTTTCCATGGGGAGAAATCGCGCTCACACGCGCGCGCTCACCTTGTAAGCGCTACGTTCGTTTTATCTGAAGCTATCAGCAGGACAGCAGCCGAGGAAGGGACTAACGACCCTACATGGTGAGTTTAAAAGTGAGGGAAAAAAAGAAGAAGGGACACACAAGAAAGAGTCTGCACAAAATGGTCGAGGAACTGTACTGTTAAGTCTGATATGTCAGCAACAAATGCCAACTCACCTTCTTTTCCCGATAAAATAGCCTGCTTAATATTTTTACATTAAGCAGTCTTAGCTTATAGCTTTAGCTTTAGAGTAAAGCTAGTTTATTCGTTTCATGGAAAGACTGCTGGGGTTGAATGCGTGTGATAGCTGTTAGTTAACCAAAAGTTAAGAATTATCTGAGTAGAAGTATTGGTTTCTTTAACACTGCCTGTAGACGTGAGTTTTTAATATCGTCGACCTTGATTAGCTTTCTAATGTCACGTGGCCTGGATACATCTTAATTCCCTTTAAATCCCTTCACAACAGATCGCCATATGCGACTGCCCCCTCCCCTTGTTTTGTTGCTTATTTTTACTCAATGACAAGATGTGACATTGCAGTGTCACATTTTGAAGGTCTTAGTTGTATCATATATTAATATTTTTTGTAATGATTAATACGTTACAGTGGTTGCATAATGACTCCTTGAGGAAAAGTCAAATGGCCAGAGCAATTGTTTTCCAGTGTAATTAATTAGGGAGTCCCTATCGCACTAGCTATATAAAACTCTGTGTGCTTATCTCACAGCTTATTTTAAACATTCAAGCCACATTCTACAGAAAACATGTGTGATTATGATCCAGTTGCACAAACTTGCAACCTACAAAAGAAGATAGCTGTGCGTTATTTCCGAGAAGAACACGCAGTTTGTTAGTTTCATTAAAGTACACTGCTTAGCACACCTATTAGACCACCACCTGCTAATTACTAAAATAGTTTTTTATGTTTCTATAATGGTTAATCCACTATTACAGAAACATCATTAAAGCACACACGCTTTAATTAAAATGATCATTTTAATTCTAAATTATAATGATTGTCATTATTCATTCATTTTCAATTTACTGTTTTACAGAAAAACAGGGGGAAATAGCAAAGCACATTATTATTTTTTGAGTAAGATGCCATTTACAATTACAGTTATTTACTTGCATCCATGAAGAGAAAAATGTGTTTTTAGCTTTTGTGTTATGTATGATTAATCTCTGACTTCTCAGAGAAGTCCAGTATGCCAGCTAAAATATGTTATATGTTATTTGCCTAATAAATAACAAATTTATTTTTAGGTTTTGGACAGATTTCTAAAATATTTTTGTGTTTACTTGTTTTCTTGATGAAATGACAGGTGGTCTAATAAATTTGTTAGGCACTGTATATTAGTTGTAATTGTAAGTTTTTTGGGAGGTCTGTATGGCTGAATGTACATCAGGCCAGTGATTACGATGGCCTGTGGCGTCATTCAAATCCTCTTGCCAGGCAGGGTGCTTGGGCAAGGTAGTGGATACCGGTAAGCATGATGGTGATGTAACATCCTATTTACATCCCTGTTGGCCTAATCTGACTAGGGTTGGCTTTGTCATCTCCCTTGGGTGGTCATGTTGAAGCCTCTAGTGTGACACACACCTAATCCTACCACTGAGGGAAAAACAAGAAGTGGTCTTAGCATGTCTTTGTTTTCGCATAGTTTAAAAATCCTGGTCGACAGAGTTTTTTGGCATGCTATTGGATTTATGTGACCTTTTGTGTTTGCGGTTGTATTTATTGCTGACAATTTTTCATGTTTTTCTGTCTCTTGGCTGTTAGTTCAACTGCGTGACCGAGATCCCTACCTTTTTACATGGATCAGTTACTGCAAAATGAGCTTTAAACTCCCAGGATTGGCTGACAAAGACAAACATTGGCCAAACTACGATCTTTTCTTTTGGGAAAAAAGAAGTGAATTCTGGCTGATGAAACAAAGACTGAACAACACTTGAAGGAAGAAGAAGGATATTTGATTGATGAATCGGCTGTGTTTTTCTACAGCCCATCTCACACAATAATAAAGTTAGCTGATAAAGAGGCTGATGAAACTGTTTTGAGAAATGATGAATCGCTACACCACCCTGAAGCAGCTGGGTGATGGCACCTATGGCAGTGTGATGATGGGAAGAAGCAATGAGTCAGGAGAGCTTGTAGCCATCAAAAGGTGAGGATGTTGCTCATTCTTTAAATTTTTGGTTGTCTCTCCGTATTCAGCCTTTATAACATATTAATATAATATTAATATTATGAGATTTATTGTTGTGGTGTTATGCATCCCTATATTATGTACATATTTGATCAGCAATGAGTCTTAATAATGTCAAAATAAAATCACAATCTTGTTTGCACTATAGTAGATATATAACTAATGCTAACGTAGATCCCCTATTGCTACCAAAGAGCCTTTATACTCACAAAACATAGTGAAAAATCACATTTATATCAAGTGTTTTTGTATCTGTTAAAGTTGATTTTTTATTACATTTTTTTCAAATTTGTGATGCAGAAAGAAATTGTTCCCTTTGAAATCAAAATATGACTGTTTTCATTTTACGTCACAGCCTTTTTCTTTGTTATTCTCTTTAATGTTTTTTGTGACACTATGAAACAGATGTGCTGTAAAGCTAGAAACCCCTGACCTGCCATCACCAGGGCAAACAAACTACATTGCTTTGTTTCAGCAACATAGCAGCAGTGTTCAATAATAGATGCGAAACTGGGGACGTGCGTCCACTGGTTGATCATTTGGTTACCATGCAAGACAATACATGTGGTGACGGTGAAAGGGAGTGAAAGTAGAGGGGTGTGTCGGGTTGCTGACATTGTGGATAGATATCGGCTCATTCTGTAACTCTTATGTAATTCCAGAAGAAAGGACAAGTAATGCTGATCAGAGAACCCAAGCGTATAACAGCAGGTGTGTTGTTTTAAACAAACACACATTGGATAACAGTGAAAAAGCCGAGTAGGCCATCAGAATCAGAATATGTTTTCATTTTAATTTAAGTACAGAAAAATCTTGATTAGAATATTTATCACATTACAGTCATCACTTTTCTAAGTTACTGATGGAGATGCACAGAGTAGTCTTGTAAATGCTGTAATAAGTAATAATAATGTTTATTAATAGATATGGCCTGAAAGGATTACATATGTGATGATCTGATAATAAGATGTATACATTCCTTAATTGTCTTCCATAGAATGAAGAGGAAGTTTTATTCATGGGAGGAATGTATGAACCTAAGAGAAGTAAAGGTAAGCATGGTAATATTAATACACCTGTTTGAAGCCCCTTATAACAGCATTACTCGCAGACCACTGTTACATAGATTGACCAATAGATAGATATGTTCACGCAAATGTAAATTGTCAAAATGTATAAAAGTACAATGGAAAATTAAAAGGTGGCATTCCACTACTACATTGGTAATGCATTAAGAAAATCATTGATTGAATGCACTCACTGGCCACTTGAGGTATAGCGCCTTCAAAAAAGTGCTAGAAGCATTCCTCAGAGATTTTGGTCCATATTGACATGATAGTGTCACAGATCATGCAGTCTGGCTTTTCACCTATGACCAATAATGCCCAGAGAACTGCCAAATATTTCCTCTTTCTGACTTTTCTCTGTAAACTCTGTAGATGGCTATATGGGAAACCCCCCAGAGATGAACACTTTCTGAAATACTCAGATCAATCCATCTGGCACCAACAACCATGCCACGTTCAAAGTCACTTAAATCACCTTTCTTCCCCATTCTGATGCTCAGTCTGAACTTCAGCATTGAGTTCCTGCTATGGGACTGGCTGATTAGGTATTTGTGTTAACTATAGGCTGAACAAGTTTACCTAATAAAGTGAGCTGTGTTGAGTATAAATCAACATCTAATAGAAGCCAGGCTTACACACTTAAATGAAGCCAAGGAAGAGCAATTTTTGTTATAACCATGCACCAGTGGAAGTTGATACACTTCATCAATTAGTACATTAACTATTCTGATATCTGTATTAAAAGTGTTCTTGTTATATACGAAAATTTTCGCATTACATGAGACAGTTTTTCTTATCTTTCCAAACATGCGTCACCCCAGTCACTGAAGAAGCTGAACCACGCGAACGTGGTGAAACTAAAAGAGGTTATTAGAGAGAATGACCATCTCTACTTTGTCTTTGAGTACATGAAGGAGAACCTGTACCAGCTTATGAAGGACAGGTAAGAAAAGAAAAATCATGTTTCACAATACAAATGTTTGAAGAATTTGTTTAACACAGTTGTAGGGCTGCTCGATTATGGCAAAAATGATAATCACGATTATTTTCACTGAAATTGAGATCTCGATTATTTGACGATATTTATTTAA